GTTTGGTTCCGTTTCATTTGGAAAGAAACAAATGTTTTTCGTAGCGTGGAGATTGAGTCTGTTTGTTTGCAATGCGGTTAAATCTTGTTTGAGGAATTTTCCGGAAATAAATGTTATTTTGAAACCAGGCAGATAAAAACATTACATCCCAGCCTCGAGCACAAACAGGACACTTATCTCTAAACATCATGTTTATTTATATTTATAAAGTTATCTCATGAGATAGATAAATCACATGTTTGAAGAGAAGTCCCTTGTGTTGTCTTTACACATGTTCTCACTACAGCAGGCTTTTAGATTTGTAGATAATCCCAATCTCCTTTACCAGAGGAAGTGCAGAGGTCAGCGATAGAATTTACAGTGATTTTTCTTTTTTTGTGTGTTTTGCTCAAGGGCCCTTCAGCAGGTCAGGAGCCCGCTCACACTGCAACATTAACATGAAACTCTTATAAGGCACTCTGGTTGCCCATTGTAGCACTCAAGGGCCACTTTGTAAACTAAATCTCACTTGATCCTGGCTGTAATGTTGCGGGGGGGGGGGTACTGGGTGGCTTTGTAACCAAGACGACAAGCCAGGAATGCTGCGAGTCAGGCGGTGCAGGGCTCCTGGTTGGCTCGAGTTCAAGCCGACATTGTGAAGTATGCGATCATTACAACACATTGGGTGGAGTAGACAGACATTGCTGTGTAACCTCAGGAGCTCACCTGAGGGGAAGGAAGTAGCAACGCCTCGGGAATCCGAGATGCACTCGTCCACGCGGACAGATGTCTCGCCAGCACATTTCTGTGTGAATGGGTGAGGGCCAGATGTTAATGTATTTACTATCGGAAGCCTGCGGTCACGTGGGACAACCTGTTTCCTGGATAATATTTGCAGAACATGAGCGGTGAATTCAATTGCTAACGTTTTACGATGTGTACAGATTTAAATTCCCCTCGGTAAACAATCAAGACGAGTACAGTCCCAACATGCACAGGCTGTGTGGAGTGCTCTGCACCATCGCTTGTTTTAATGAAGCAACACAGAATCTAAGGAGAACTAAATGTTCAATGTGCTTCCTGAATGCAGCTCGTGACCCACTTGTTTACAGAAGTAGTATTTTGTAGTATAGATTACCAGGTCTTCTCTAGACTGCAGGGAACACATTCCTCACCAGCGCTGACCCATATCGCCCAAAGCCCGACTTCCCAAGTCTGACTCTCACCTACGGGACACAGTCAGGATCAGGTGAACGCGAATAGAGCTGGAGCACCTAAGAACCAGCATTTTGCACAAATATTGCCATTGATGTGTCTCCATAGGCTTAGCCGCTCAACTTAACATGTCTGCATTGAGGAGAAACCTATTCAATCGATGGAGACTGCACCATTTTTAAATGGCAAAGGCCTCCCTGGTCCTTACCCACTTCTTTGCTTTTACTGGCCTGCTTTGGTCGCCCTAGACGACCCACACCGGCACACTGCCAGAGTCCAGAACCAGCCAGAGGGGGCCTGTCTGCAGAAGAGAGGCCTTCTCTCTATATAGGGACCTTCTCAAATGGATTGTGGTCAGTTTGGCAAAACAACTGCCAGGATGGCAACTTTTCTCTCCGATTATGAAGTAGTTATTTCAGCAACGCACTTGCTCTGTCGTTGGCTCTTCTATTCTGGAGAGGAGTTTGCTCATGGATGAGGCTTCCCCTCTTCATTTCTGCTGGTACTCTCCCGCTATCACTTAGGGCTGTGCAATGAGTCAATATGATGATTGATTGTCTCTCAATGGAGTCTTATCAGGATGAAATCATATATAGAGGAATTGCATCGTCTAAATTGACAATAACAAGCACATACTAACTTAGATTTCGCCAAAAATCCGATTTTAAACTCTGTTAAATCAAATTTATCTTAATCTGATTTCTCTGTATCTGTGTGCATGCACGTAGACATGGTCAGTGTATAGCTGGAAGTATTTATTTCACACAAATGGGTTTTACGTGTGCTTATTTCATATATATGCTATATTGTGATTCTAAATTACACTTTGTAGGCAACCTAAAATGTTACATTTAACTATCATGAACTGAAAATGCACTGTGAAAGGGTTAAAGTTGTAAGATGAAAACACAGACGACTCCGTGGCAGAGACATGTCAATCACTGTGTAGCCCCGCACTAAATCATCCCCTGCTTTATGGTCTGTTTGACTCTAAATGGACCATCAGTTACTAAATGAACATCATGCTGTACTGAAGAAGACTTGAAACTAGAGATTGAGACCATAAACTCATGTTTACAATGTTTACTGAGGTAATAAATCAAGAGAGAAGTAGAGTCATTTTCTCATAGACTTCTATACAACCAGAGGAGTCGCCCCCTGGTGGACATTAGAGAGAATGCAGCTTTAAGGCACTTCTGTATTGGCTTCACTTTTCAGACTGGGAGGTTGCCGCCTGATTCAGACTCAACCTAGAAGGCCACCAGTCAGTCTCTAAAGAGCCCCACACCTACTGCACACGGACCCTGCCTTCATAGCACCAGGGTTATAATAGTGTTCAGTGCCAGAGGGCTGCAGTTCTACGCAGGATGTGTCTGCACTCCATTATGACGTAGTGTGAATATGTCGAGTGAATACTTGTTGTTGAGATTTATGTCTGCTTAAAGGTCCTCTCAAATTTAAATCATACAAACGCACGGGCTCTGCAGCTGCAAAAACATGAGGAACTGAACACTTTTTAGAGCTGTGGTTCACGGTTTTATTAGGCAGCAGATGATCTTTTTATTCTTTTTTTATTTTTATTTTTTTCGTCAAATCAACATCCAGCAAACATTTGAACAAACGACCATCGGTAGGAACACGTCTTCAAGTTTGGTTTCTTTTGACAAAATAAAAGAAAACACAAACTGCATCACTTCATTTGTTTCAATGAGAATGCTGTTGAACAAAGTAACTTATGTGGAAAAAAGACTCTATGATCTCACCTAATTGACAGATTTTGGCCTGTTTAAAAACCCGCTAGTTCTCCTAAACCAAGTGACTTGGTAAGTCTATTTTGCATTGTAACAGTTATGGAAGTTTGTGTTTATTTGGCCCATCAACGCTTCATCCTGGTGAGTCAACTTGAGGCTAAATGCCTCTGAACTGTTTGTTTAACTTTGCAGCTGCAGAGACTTCAGAACAAACATGTTCTCCCTTTTCTCTGCATCAGTAGAAACCAGCACATACACTCAGAAGGATTTGGATTCGTGTGGATGTAAGTGGAGCTAAAAAGACAAGCTAAATGGGGGCAGAAGTTGTAGTTTTTGTTTAAAGGTTGTTTGGCTCTGTAGTGGTCCTAAGTTTTAGGGCCACAGTTGGTGGTTTCCACAGTGATTCACTGTTTGGTTTAGAGGCACAAATCAGCCGGAATGTGAATCGCTTGTCAGTTGGACCTTTTTTTTTTTTTTTTTTTTTTGCATCAGCACGTTTTGTTGCCACAGTGTTCAACAAAGGCTCTGCGCTTTGATACATGAAATGGATACTCCTCCATTAGTGTTGGATTTGATAGATGAAGAAGGAGCGGAGCGGGGGTATTGTTTTATCTTTCTTTCCTCCTCTTGTCATCCAAGACGCCTCCTCTTACCCTGCCATCACAAAAGTCTTGTTTTTCACACCCGGTGGATAATCTCCAAAGAGAGAGGTCGACGTGTAGTTACACCAGGGTCGGCTGACACGTGCACACGGCTGTTTCCTTGCAGGTGTCGCTCCCGCTGACCTTTTGATCCCGGAGCCGTCCACATTCTCTGGCTCAGCGGTGCCTGGTACTGTAGCTACGCTGCTGCCATGTTCTCAGGCGGGTTGGCCATGCGGGGCGGTGCTTCTCCATTGTGATGGTTTGGACCGCTACCACAGCTGGTCCACAATAGTGAGGGGAGTTTACTGAGGGCTCTAAACCTGCAATGAAAGCTGCTTCAGTCTGCCATAAAGAGTTGTTGAAAGTGTGGCTGTCCCCTTTTGAGTCATTTTTTGGTCTTAGTCAAAGCTTTCGTTGGGTAATAAGTTGTTTTTTATACTTTTTTCATGAAACTTTATGAGCACATCTGCTGTAAACTCAAGATTTAAGGTGGTGCTTATTTGTGGATCAACTCCTTTTTACAGCTCTGTTGATTTAATAAACTAACCTTCTTTGATTTAACGACAGCCTTAGATAACATAATGAAGTTATTTTGGGTTTAAATGGAAAGTTTGTATCTTGATTTTGCTATTGTTTTGGAAGGCGGATGAAACTTAAAACAAAATATTAGCTTTCATGTTGGTGACCTTTTCCATAAAACTGTATAAAATGTAATCTCGTTTGTGGTTGTGGCAGGAGATGTCGACTCAACAATTGGCACAAGTAAACCTTTTCACATTAACGAGTGCCTCGCCAAATCGTCACTTACGGCCATAATGTAAGCTAGTCGGCAGATATTAGAGAGTGAGCTGAAAACATTGGATTGGATTGTCATGAGAGGTGCTACGGTGCTGTAGACTCTTAGTCTTGATGTCCCTCGAGGCTTTAACAGTAGCGTGCAGAAGGACAGACGATGTGTGAAGCTGGAATCTTTGGGATGAATCGGTGTCATTATTCACAACACCAGTTTTAAACTTAAGCTGCTTTTAATGGAAGGGTTTCACTTCGTGTTATAAATGCTTGAAATCGATTCTCATATTTCAGAAAACATGCGTCTGCACGTGTGTGCGGTATGCGCCACTAAATCCCAGAGGCAGCTCAGTGCTCGGAGGATGGATTTCTAGGTAATGGGGATGTTTTTCTACCTCACCCTCCTCCCCCTTTCCC